TAATATGGGCATATGCTTAACACACCTTCACAGTATAATCTTGCATTTATCACTTTAAGTATGTCTAATACACTGTGCATAAAAAGATCACGCTAAAAGGACCAAATAGGTCCTTCGAATTAATTTTATAAAATTGAAATAGCGTTTTTACGGTTATCCTGGTGGCGTTATTGCATACAAATCAATGAGTTTATCGAATGAATTACTTAAAGAGTAGATGATCTTGACAATGGGAACTTTGCAATTCTGGTTCTCAGTGTGTTGGGTAATTAACATCAGGACAACAAAACATATTATTGAGCTTTGATGCTCCAACTTGAAATAGAGCCTATCACAGACCTCAGGGGTTTAGCAGCAATCAATAATCTAATAGACGGAACCTTTTTAACTACAGATACGGTCGCTTAAAGTTTCAAGATATCTATTATACTGGTTAATTTTACATACATCCCTTTTAAGGGAGAATCAATAACGTAGATTGATATTGTGTTGAGTGAATACAGATCTACCGTAACTAAAAACTCTAACATACATTTATGTACATAACATACATGACATTAATTAGCTAATAAGATAATAAAAACATGTCTATAATAGAGTATTTTTCCAAGAAATCCTGAAATATCTCAAAAGGTTAGCTTGATTATTATTTGTACCAAGTATTGTATTAACAGACCTCCGTATATTCTGATATTATATCTCACAGCCAACAATTTAACATCGTTGGGCATACGAGTTGAATGTTCTTCACGATATATGTACCTATATTTTGTACTAGCTTTCCGCCCGCGTGGAATTGTGTCTGTCACAGAAAAACTTTATCGCACGCGTCCCTGTTTCAAAAACAGGGATAAAAACTATCCTATGCCCTTTCCCGGGACTCAAACTATCTTTATGCCCAATTTAATCAAAATCGGTTCAGTGGTTTAGGCGTGAAAGCAAGACAGACAGACAGACAGAGTTACTTTCGCATTTATAATATTAGTATAGATGTCTGTGTATATTAAGGACATGAATGTTAAGATTTCATATTACTCATGCTAGGTAAATGAAGATACAAATCTTGAACAAATAGTAAAACTTTAAATCATTTTAATAAATTCAACATTGCAGATATTTTACGTGAGAAAAGAGTTGAAAGAGTAGTTTACGAGCATCGAAGCGAGAGGGGCGATTTGTGAATGAATCCACGCGGATACGCTCAGCTTGATGCGTGTAGATGTAGTCGCGAGCGGGCCCATTCACGCTGCAAGAGATCCTGTCGAGCGGCATAACATTAGTAGGGAAATGTCCTATAATTTGCACTGATTTATAACTAGGTACTTACGTAGGGACAAAGGACAAATAAGTTATGAATTAAAAATTTTAAACTAATTTTAATAAAAGTTGTAAGAAAAAACTAACATGTCAATTCGACAGTTCGACACAATAGATTGTATTACAACGGCCACCCACCCATCTACAGCTGAGCGATTATCGATTTCATTTAATTGCTGTCCTTAGCTATTTTCACAATTTTAACGCTCACGTCGACGTTAAGGTAAGAATGTGCACGTAGGTAGCGGATACAGACGTGTTCCTAATTTTCTTGACTGAATAAAATCTATTGTCGGAGAAAGGAAAAATACATTAAAATCCAAGTTCACTTGGGTGGTTTCCATGGCAAGTTAAATCCTTGTAGGTATTCGTCAAGCGGCGTAGTTGCGAGGGCCCTCAAAAGAAAACTTATTAATTTTCGTCATTATGAATTCCGCGGGCGAAACTCGAACGTCTAATTTCAACCCTAACTTATCAAGACGCGAATAAAAAAGTTCACCCCCGGCGCACCCCACGCTCACCCCCTTGTTTAAAACGCCGGCGAAAAAAGAAGCACATAAAAATGCATGAGGCCTTCCTCGTTATAAGGAAAGGGTAGCGCCCCCCTTCCCCCCCTCGGGAGGTAGCTGTAAAAATCGTCTCTAATTTAAATTTGGGAAGTTTCGCGTGGCGCGAGGCAACGCTGATGTCTTGATAAATGTGAGCGTATTCCACTAATTTCTCGTCTTCAGCGCTCGGAACTTTTAATTGGGCGCGCATAAATCGCGCCGGAGTAATGGACGCGGCATTAATTTCATCTCGTGACAAAATGGCCGCCCCGAATAGGTATATTAAGATAAGCATCGCTCATTGTTTCGGGCAGATGCAGGTCGGCCCGCCACGTCACCAGATACCATAGACTTAAACGCCTGTAAGAGAGACTCTACATTAGAAATGAATGCCTAAGTAATAAAAGCCAATTTGGGAAAAATATTTAATTTATTTTGGGTACTACTACCACTATGTTTAAAGCCACGCACTAGTTTAAAACTTTGAAATCACTTATCGTTTCCACCCTGTATGTTGTTTTCTGAGACAGTTAAATGACTGGTCATTAATAAGAAACTAATTTTGACGCATACGCAAAAAGATGGGTTTTCGAGTCTCCTTCTCACTGTATCAATGAACATAAAGACACAAAATCAGCTTGTCATTAAATACTTTAATTTGCCACTTCTCTAGTTTCACAGTTTACAAGCTGGCTTTTGTTACTCAGAAACAGTATCAGCTTTTTATTGTACCCATAGAAGACAATACGAGTACAAATATTCACAATATTCTCTAAAGAAAACACTTTCTCTATAACTACCACTATTTATAATAAATCGTGAACTCTAAATAAAATCGGCGAAATGAGTACATACCCGATCACGCGAAGTGCAGTTCCGTAGTAAATCATCTCAGCATGCTTATTTAGAATGGGCCACTAAGATAATAAAAAGCAAACAAGTAAAGTCTGAAAAAGCTATCTATGTGACTTTCTATTAAATTATTGAAAAAGTTTAACTTTTCCATAGGAGAAAAATATTCGTTTTTTAAACATTGATTAAAATTCCAAAAATTTTCGAATTAGCTGATCACATGCAGGTCAGATGCACAGACAGTCATCGAAATTATACGTGTCTTGTTTAATATTTTCAACCCAAAACACACATCATAATAATTCAATCGAATAAAATTTCTCGTAGCACGACTCGTAGCAAGATGCTACGAATCCGTTACGCGGTTTCTCGTAGCAATCTAAGGAGTTTGCAATTCTGAGAATGTATTAAATAGTTATGTTATTTTATTTATTATTTTAATCATTTACTATGTGTATTAATTTTACTATAATGATCGTATTATACTTATTATAATTTCAGTTCGGTATTTTTCAATCTGTCATTGTATTTTGAAACAAATGGTATTTATTTTAATAGAAATGTAGGTTTGTTTTCATTTCATTAGTCACACACAAATGGCATGTCATTTTTTCGTTAAAAACAAAACTTTTCACTCCAAGTAATTAGAACAGAGGCCGTTTGTTTTGAGTGAACAATTAAGCGCGTGGCGAGTATCGCGTTCTTCTTCCTCATTAAATCGGGACAAAGCGACCGCGGGGAAACTTCGACGGGTGTAATGTTATTCATTTGGGAAAGTCAAAGGTTGTATTTACAAAAAAAAATAAGTTGCTGGAGAGCGGACGGTGGCATTTTTTCCATTCGCCGCGTTCCATTAGCGAGCCTTTGTTTGGCGGGAGTGCGCAAATTAATTTAGCTCTCCCGCCATTTCCTCGGCCCCCCACTCCCCCCGACGCGCCCTTTTTGTCTACGCCTTGCTCTACGTATCGTTTTCTTCTTTATGGCTCATTAGGCAACACTGTCGCCATTGTTTTTTTCGCCTAACCCACAAGATCTAATTATTACGATCAGCAATCCCATGAATCGATACTGCGTAGGCGAGATTGTGATTGTTACCTCAATAACGTCTAATGTTTGGTCGAGTATTTTTTGAAATCAGCTAGATATTGCTATTAATAATCTTTAATATCAGTAGCTATAATGACGACTGCTAAAAATAAAAAAAGAAGTTTGTTGTACTGATTATCAAAGGCAACAAGATTAATAATAAGCAAAGTAAGGAGACTGTATTTGTGGAGCGCCGAGCTGCCGTCCATTAGCGGCAAGGAAGCAGAGTAACTCGATTACTCTCGCATTTATAAATACAGTCGGCAAACAAAGACTTTTGCTGTTTGCTGGGTGCCTACTTTTAATATATCCTTGAATATATCCTACCAAATGACCATGATGAATAACGACAATGTAATTCTGTAAGTTTTGTATCAGGTGAGTGTCAGATGAGAGACAAAATGCTCTATATATTTTGGATATGACAAGTAAAAATTTTGTGCAGATAAATGAGTTGGATGCGAGATTTAAATGCATTCTCCATGTCCAATTATCAGTTAATTGAATCACATGGTTTTTAGATGTATTTAGTTTATAGAAAGTGTGCTAATGAATGGAATAATAACGTTATAGGTAGGTACTCTGAAAGAATGTAATTTTATCGAAATTGTAAAGTAGGTTTCTTTGCGTATTCGTAATCTTACGTTTATTTAACGTTTGATCTTTTGTAATTGAAGTGAAAACCGAATTTTCCGTCGTGTCGTAGTTAACGTGTGCTAGACAAAATGTATAAAAAATATATTCAAATCTATTACCCCATAATGCAGTGCCAAATAATGTCTCATAACTATAGAGATTTACTAATTTAAATTCTATATTTTGTACTAACTAATAAAAATAACCTTTACATGTCTGGTTGGCCAATGGTTTGAATTTTCATGAACTTTGATATAGAGACAGTTGGATTAGATATGAGCTGGACTTATTTGTACTTGAAAAAGGGTGAAATAGGGGATGAAAGTTTGTATGGGGAATCAATCATTTCTCGTTTCGGCGATTTGATGACTCATTATTATGCTTTTAATGATAATTATTTGCAGAGCAAACAGCGAACTAAAACAGTACCCATGTCAATAAAGAAAACGTGACTGAATGAGTGTACCATTCGTTTCGCGCCTAGCAGCAGTGAAATTGGAATACTGTTAGAATAATTCATTAAAAAAACATGAATCTTTATGATAAAAAAAATAATCTCACCATTATCACCTGCGCTGGCGCCGCGCGCGAGTGACGCGCGCTCTCGTGCACAAAAAAGCAGCGACTGAGCCCCGCGCCCGCGCCCGTGACCCACAGTTTTTTACCCGCGCGTGCCCTCGCCGCTACAACCCTTCCGTATTCAAACACGAACGCCCGGCTAATGCACGCTACGAGAAAGTTCACCGCATCAACATAATCTACATTCAAATATTCCTTCTCCACAAAACATCTTCACTACATTTTATACATGCCTTTACGCAATTGTAACTTAAGAATCTACCAACCTACCCACGCCCGGGAGCTAAGTAAAGCAATTAATTCCCTGTTTCATAAAATATTTAATTAAAATCTTAATAGCTCTACGGCGTTCGTACTTGTGAAAAAAGAAAAAAGAAAATACCTTATCGCGAGCTTTAAGTTCGCAGACTGGAAATTTCTAATTAATTACTTAGTAGACACATTTTAAATTCTTAATTAAGCAATCCGTACTTTCTCCCGCCTATAAATTAGATCGAGCCGTTTCCATAGAGACTACTCATCCTTTAAAGCGGGCCGGGGGGAGGAGGGGGGGCTTTACAAAAAATATAACTTAGGGTGAGTAAAAAACCGTGGGGTGACTCAGCCGGCCGCTGCACCCCACAACGAGAAATCTACGATCAATATTAACTCTTTTTTTCAACGGGGAAACGCTGAATTTTTAAGTCGTTTTAAGTCAGAGTGATATTGCGCGTGATGTGTCGGACATTCGCGAGCTGTTGCCGAAATGCCAATATTTGTGTAGAGCAACAATGATAAATCATTGCGATTGAGCGCGGTTGCAGCGCGCGTTCGTCAAGGTCGCCGTCATATATGGGTGACGTCCACAGCTGATTAAATCAATTGTTATTCTTAAATTTACTATTTTTATTAGTTTTAGAATTCCCTACACTTTTTAAACTGACAATAATGGATAGAGTTGAAAAGTCAAATCTTACACTAACACAAAAATATTTGATAAATATAAAAAGTAGGTAGAGTTCAGTGGTTAGAGACAAAATGCAAATAGGCAAAAGTTAATAAATAATGAGCGTTAATTTCGAACAATAGCATTAACCAACGTCATTGTGTAATTAATTCTTACGACAAAAGGTGACTCCAAGTTTTTATTATCAGAGTTTTGAACAAAGCTTAAAAAGGAGTATAAAAACAACCTGCATGCATAATTAGATACAGTACATTAATAAAAAGCTGGGCCCGGTGTGTGAGTGCACGCGCGCCTTAAAAAATGTTCATTTGTAAAAAGCTATTTATGACAGCGACCATTATCGTCTAATAAATCAGCTGCCCGCTCTTCTGTTTTCGATAATGATTCTATTATTATGGAAAAGCGTTATGTAACTGTAACATTTTTTTCTTAATGGTGACACAAACATGGATACGGCTTCTTGGAAAACTTTAGGTGTTATTCGAAATAAATGAAATTGATTTAAGATGATATTTCTAAGAAAATCTATTTGGATCAGGCTGGAATTGAATCAAATCAAATCAAAAATATTTATTTATTGAGAACCATTCGATAACAAATCGAATGATATAATCATGTTGTTGATATTATCATCGCATGTCTGGTACTCTGGTGTGTAAGCTAGGTACATACTTTAAGCAGTTTCTTTTCTTTTTTGCAAATAAGTTTCTTATGAAAATTACTTAGAAAACTGGGAATGAGTAAATTTTTGATTAGTACATCCTCTGTTATTATAGGAATTTCTTTCTGTTATTGAATAGAACAATTAAATGGATCAGTACATAACGTACTAAAAAGTTGGAATTGTTATGAAGTCATCAATTGACATGAGATAAATTAGTTGCGACTCATAGATACTTCGAAATATTCTTCAATCTTGAAATATTTTAGTTACAAAAGCGTTCTCCATGCTTTCGTCGGCCGTAGGTTTTTATGCGTGTCGGCCGCGCGGCGCCCACTGCACGGGTTACAAATTGTGGGGTGAAAGGGGTAGTTTTTTCTAATCGACTTGCCTAACTGTAATAAACGATATTTATCTTTCTTAATTATAGTTTCACTCCGCTGTTTGGTAGCTTTGCTCGTGTTTTTGTAGCGACTGTTTGTGTTATTATCGAATTACGTGCGTTTGTCGTCCGTTTTGAATTTGTCCTTATTACAGCTGTACAACCAGAGATTCGGTCAATTTATTTTGAGAAATTTCATTCAATATAAATGAAGTGTCTATGTTTCTCAAATTAACAGTAAAATATACTGGAAGCATTAAGTGGATAGGTACCTACTTGCATCAAAATTATACTATGTACCTAGTTGAGTTGACGACACATTGTAACACTGTTACTCTATAAGTATCGTAAATCCTACGTGTATCTATTTAAATTAATTGTAAAAAAAATACTCATTCGGTTTTAATATTTAATTCTTAGAGATGTAATGATAAACCGTATTAATGCTGCGTTGTTACAAAAAGTATTGATTAAAGAAGTATTATAAAATGTGCTCAGTTGGAAGTTTAAAATGAGAAATGAGGGCAGTGATCCCACGGGGCGCATGCGTAATAATAACCCTTTTTTACCCTTTCGTATCCCCGAGTGTTTTTTGTAAGCGTTTTTGTAAAGGGTTGTGTGTGGGGTACGTACCTGCCACGTGACGCGGAAGGGTTGATTTTTTTCATATGGACTGCCGCGCTTTTTATGATGGTGCAGCAGTTTTTTCTCTATGCACCACGTCGAGAACAATAGAGTGCATTGAACTCTCACAAGAGATCAGCTGATGCCATAATGGTGCACTTGTCATGTGTGTACTATTGATTTTTCGTAGTTCAAGGTCGTTGCCCGTAGAGAGTACAAACAATAATAATAGTTAGGGCACTTCGATAACATTGTTTCACTCAATATTTTTCAAGATAATATTGCGTATTCTTCTTGTTAGTGATGTCTTAAACTGAACTTGCTTCATTGTTCATTTCAGTGTTCATGTTATTATTTTCATAAATGTATTTTGTCTTCATCCGCGAATTCATTTTCTATTAAAAAATTAAGACAGCTATTATATTATACTGACTGTTACATTTTAAAAGCAGATAAGTAACAAAATATACGTAATATGTATGTAAAAATACTTAATAACAAAACTTTCTTAGATCCTAATTTAAGCGCCAGTGCCGTACCCTAACTCTGCAAACATCTAGAAAAAAAAAAAATTTGCTCAATTTTTTTTTCATTACCTCACTCTAAATGTACCTATTTGTACTTCAGATATCTACACTCATTCTACACTGCTGAAATGTTTGCTTGCATTGTAAAATTCAAATAACATGTTGTCTTTAAAATTGTAGAGCGCGTAGGTATTATGCCGTTTCACATGTCTTGCCTATTCTCGTGTGTTACAGATTATATTGATTTACTCTTCCGGCTCCGTATGATCATTAGACCTCTTTCAAATTAGCCGGACGTTTGTCGTCCGTTTGCAGGACCGCTCATGGAAAAAATTATTAAAAATGCGTGCGATGAATAAAAATTACAATTATCAACAGTTAAGTGTGCGCTCTTGCAAACGCATAACTGACGTCTTACTCAAAATGTCTAATTTGAAAGAGCCCTTAGGGTCTCTCGGTCTTGCGGGTATACTCCCTAACGCCGTTTTCGACTTTCGGGATCGTGTTTTATTCATACCAGCATTTCGTTTAGAGTCAGAAAGATTAAAATTCCATAAATTAATATAGAAATAGTCTCACACTGATTTCTAACTAATATGCGCCACTAAAAAAGTAGGCACTTAATGGAAATAGCAATTAAATTATGAAAATCAATAAGAAGTAGTACTGATTAGTACATATTATAATGTCATGAATTTACAAAAAAATCAGCAATTGAACAGACAAACATGTAATGTGTGAAAATGGAAATTTGTTTATGTGGCTTACCTTTTCTTTGCTTGACGTTCATCTTCATCTCATGTATTTTATGTAATTATATGTGTACCTATAATAACAGTAATATGTATTTGTTAGTAGTGATTCAACTACGTTTACTGTAACAATTTCATGTGATTTTACCCTCAGGGCTAAAGCTTTTTAATACCCGTTATAGAGTTAACACTCGCAGCGGATGGTGTCATTTTTCGCTAACGCAACACCCGTTCAATTTTTGGCAATCTGAGTAAAAAACTGAACGGTTAACACCGGTGCTCTAAATTCCAGTAACCCACATTGATCAAGGTGTTAAGCACTATCGTGTTGCAAGCCCGTTACTCCGCTGTCAAGCCTTTGTCCAACTCTTTTTTAGCCCTCTAAAAACTTGCCCCTTTGCTGATTGTTGGCTGCTTGCGTTTTTTGCGACAGACGCCGCGCGCCGCGCTTGAGCGCTGAGATGCGAGCAAGACGCGAGTCGTACGCACCTGACGCCTGCAATGACGATTAACGTGACGACGATCGTGAAAATTATTCATTCAAAAGTTATCGTTGGACAGCATTATACATTTTCATGCGTTTCTTGTACAAACTTTAAGTACCTGCTCAGCATAGCTTCGATCGCGGTTAACAGAGATAGTTGATGTTGTCTACATATTGTCTCAAAGTGATGGTTGATAAAACTATAAGCTCTTTAAGTATGTTCAAGTACCGGTTTGACTATTTTGAGTTGGTATTAGGTATAAATAGACTCAATCATTAATCTGCAACTATGTGTGTGTACAAAACATAACTATGATCTGTGTCACAGGTTTCTAGAAACACAGTCATCCTTCTGTCATGATTATTTAATATTTATATTATATATATTTAATATTTATTTACAGTATGTTTAAAATATCGTTAACATGACAATATTTTTCATTACGTTACGGAGAAAATATAATTAGTCGCATTTTAACATCTTACTATGTGTTATGTCTAGAATATTATTTTCTCGATCTAAAATAATACGAAATAGGTAATATTAGTTGCGTAAGGGTTGGCATTGGGCTCTAGGGCCCTCCACCCACGCCGCCAGAGCATTCGCGACTCTAAAATTAGTGGCAGCTGCCGAATCCGCCCCCGTTTTACTTTTTACTCAGAAAACAACAAAAACTGAAGTTTTTTTCCACAAACGGCCGGGATCTGATTTCGCAAAGATAGAGTTTCATTAGTAGACAAAGCATTTCTACGAGTTCTTTTTAATTATATGTAATAGGCTGTGCCAAAACAGACCGGTCGGATAACTCTGTGTTTTTTAAAGATTTTGTGTAGAATTATTAATTCGCAAATATAGTACAGAGTTAATTATTAAAATAACTTAAACGTTTCAGTTTATCAACGTTTTAAATTAAACAAGTTTTTTTATGAATATAGTAAGTATTTAACAGATTTTTAATGTTTACTTTTACCATATTTTTACTTTACTTATTGAATAGTTGGTAGCAGAAATTCGGTTCTTGTGACAACTACTATCTTATTCATTCATTGAAACATTTCACGTGTTGCCGACTGTTTTGTTCCTATTATCGAAACATCGAAGAAAGGACATTGCAAACGGATTAAATGCTAACAAACCCAGTAGCCTCGGTGTTGTTACACAAACAGCTAATGTAAAGCGAACACAAACATCTCCTTTGTTGGATTCCTTTATACGGCGGCGTATCTTACGGAATATACAATTTCAGTGACAATTAGGCATTGTCGGAGGCGCAGCCACTGTCCGGTGATACTGGCCAGATTAAAGGATTACACAAACAACTTCGTGCGAAACCCATTTCTTGTTACTCCCTTGGCGTTGTCACTTTGTCGGCGAGATGCTTGTGAAAAACCTGAAAACCGAAAGTGAGTAGTTGGATAAAAACAACATTGTTATGATGCCTTTGGAGTTAACAGAATAGTAACTACTAGTAAGTTAACCTACATTTTATTCAAACTAAGTATTTTACTTCTCATTACTAGTAGATTTCTTTGTGCACCTATAAGGCATTATGAATATGATGAGAAAGCGAAAAGTTACATCGTTTGTTTTTTATTTTTGGAAGAAAAATATGTTCACNTTAAAAGGTTATATGTGTAGGCCTTATTCGAACACGGTGTTTTAATAAGCCCTATACAAAAAAACAATATTGTTTGTTTTTTTTTTTTTTTTGATAATATATGTAAGGAATCGTTACTTTGTTACTATGAATATTTAATTTTATCTATAATTTATGTATAATTCTTAATAAGTGGAATTTAAGTTTATCTAGAGATGTACAGTATATTTCTGTTTACTTGGTATGTAAAATTTTGATAACGCAAACAAATCGACGTGTTTAATGTTATAAGACCGCATTTTGTTTAATACAACCTGAATTTTAAGGTCTAGAGGCATTTGAATCATGTAGGCCTTATTCCGTGTAGGTGATTTAATAAAGCCAAAATCAGTGGTTTCGTAATTTGCTTATTTTGAATAGATTTAGTTAAAAATTGTGTTGTTTTTTGTAATATTGCTAAAATTAAAGGATGGAAGAAGATAATTAACCTTGTTTTTGTTAATTGGCGTTAATATTTATTGAATTATAAGCATTTAAAGTTAGGTAGGCCTTATTTGTATCAAGTACCTTAGTTGTAACGAAAACCGTTGTTGTGGGGTATAAAAATACAAAGTAAAGTATAATACGAGTACCTATCTATTTACCCGTTTTTTAAGTATATGACTTGCGAAAATCATAGGCACTCTACCATTATTGCAACTCCTATCTATCAAAAACTGAATCGCGACAAGTTCTATACGGGTTATTAATGACATTGTGCAGCATCGTTCCTTTGTGTGAATTAAATACATCAAATGTAAAGGAAGCCATAATTGCGATGAATGGCAATTTTGAAAAGGGAATATTTGGCGTAAAAATCAATAATCAAAGTGGTGGTGTGACAATGGCAGCGGTCGCCGGAGCCGCTATCAAAATATAAGACGGTGCGTGACACGGCGTGGGTGGATTTTTTTATTGCATTAGTTCATTCCGAGTGGAGTGGTGGAGCGAAATCGCGTCAACCGTAAACACTCCAATAAACATCACCTAACTTTGAAGGCACTTCAACCGTTTATTTATAACCATCGTGTATCTGTGCTAAATTTTATTTTTCTAGTATTCTCATAATACTTCTTGAATAAAGGAATTACTTTTTATATATGTAGAGAACTTTACGCTAGAATTATCGCCGAAATTAATTCTGTAAGCAATTTAAATTTTGTAATTACAGTTAGAAAGCTGATCTACGTTTTTTTCATGCTTTTAGAACAAGATACTTAAAGGATACTGACTAATACTAACTGCCAATGTTTCTTACATCATCCTATTTCTATGATGTTCAAATCAGTATGCATACATAGGTAGGATATCTCACTATACAATGTTGAGATGTTAAAAATCTTTAGCGACCCATCCCGATATTATCTAACTCTATACGAGTAATAATAATACAATTACAGTACTTTACCAGTTCATAAATCCCTAATTTCATTACTTATTAAATCAATTAAATAATTTTGAAGAACTTAGCGGTTACATCCCATACTTTGAAAGTCATGTATGTGTGGATCTAAATATGTATCACTTTATTTATTTGAGTTTTTTTTAAATAATTGAGTATGTGAATTGAAAACGCGAATCGAATTCGTTACTTGCATATCCATTGTTGGTATTGTCACCCACAAATCTCAGGCAAGGGTAAATAGAGCGCAGCCGATTGTTGCGATCTCTTGGAGATGGCACACGTGCACCTCACTATGCGACCAGACAATGCGCCGATGCATTTTGCAAGCGTCTCAACTATTGACACGCAACGACGCTTTCGTTTCGATTATGAATACATTGTAATATTTTCGATCGAATGATTTTTTGTGTGTAGAATGTCGTGGTAGGTTTTTTTATCATGAAGAAAACTAAACTCAAAGGTACCTTCAAACCTTTACTTATTACGATTAAAAAACGAGTTAAACTAATTATAATTAGGGTTGCAAATTATCCGGATAATTGCACAATTAGGAAATAATATTATGAAACGTACAATTAATACTAAAATAACAAGTATCATTGTAAGAAGACGATTAATTGTTGCGTAAAAAGAAAAAAAGAACAAAAATTGTTTATATTTTTTTTATTCTGCCAATTGACTAAACAAAATAGGGACGTCCCTAGTTATATTACTGATTCATTCATAGAAAATGGAAATAATGAAAACAAATAAAAAAACTAACTAAAACATCCTGGACACTGGAAAAAAGGTGTCATTAAAGGTTATATTTTATCAGCGTAATAGAAAAAGTAAACGGGATTCAAAATGGAGAAATGATGATAGTGTTTAGCGCGAGATTTGGATAGTGGGTGGCGAGGATGCCTCCAGCACTGCACGCCTGCAACTGTTGCTTCCATTCGAGACAAAAACGCGAACACGTTTAAATTATCTTACTCTTTTTGCTTCCTGGTGTATCTTCCGGCAACTCTTTTTTGCGAAAGAACACTTTTTGTTTCGAACCCCTTGAAGGTTTTAACATTATAACATTAGAACCACCTAATTATTTCAAATATGGTTCTGTTTGATGAGAATCCGTTTCACCGCACAACCTTTCAATATTATACTTTTGTCACATACAGTTTTAAGGGTAGGTACCTACACAGATATCATAATTTGAAAAAGAACTTGATTTGACCAATTACGGTATTCTTAAAACTAAAAAAAATGGGTAAGGTAGTTCGATTATTTTTGTAAGAAAAAGAATTTAAATGTATTACTTTTATGCCTTTTTCGACGATTGTTCACAAAGAAGCAAATATCAACACACGATCAGCACCTGTCGCTCGGCGGACGTAATCAATAGACCGACTTCGTTTCCGTCACTGCCGCACAAAAACAAATGAATGCTAACTCGAAAAAAATGCAACAAAGCCGAAAGTGTTCCGAGCAGCAGATTATGAGCACGTTCAGTTATTAATTTATACGTAACATCGCGGTAAAAAAACTCAACCCTCACTTACGATAAAGGAAAAAAATGTAGCGCGCGACGCGCAAAAGGGAAAGGGTGTCTCGCGTGCTGCGTTTTGTTTTTTAACAGTATTCTGCGGTTTGTTTTTTCTTGTGATGCGTTCCTGTTTTTTAACAACACAATACTGTTGTTAAGAACTGTTTTTAAGAGCGTCATATTGACGTGAGCCGCGAGCGCGAGGCGTGATCGCTAGTGTTTTTGTGGAAGATTTTATTTTTAAATCTCCACGTTTCGGGTAAATGAGAGATGGTAAACTTTTTCATGTGTTTAGTCACGGGTTGATAAAGGGGAAGACGGTGCTTTATATTTATATTGTGCGCGGTAAAGCACGAGCGCAGCGAAACATATGGTTCGTTAAACAAAGACGACGAGTTTTTCTTGGCCGCAGGTGTTGAGCTTAACGATACGCAGATACATTATTTGTCTGTCATCGAACTACTTTATTACTCGGTGCTTCGTGAGTTTAATACATAATATACTAGTAATAAAATGATACAAACCATTAATCCCTTAGAATATGCTGCTGTTTCATTAATTTATGACTTAATAAAACGGTATTTAATGATGCAATTATGCGTTGAAAAACAAAACAGCAGATGAAAATCGTCAATAATGTCCGGAATCTGTAAGTGCGCCATAAACACGAGCCATGAAAATGCCATTAAATATTAAAAGTGGAGAAACAGAGAGCTTAACAAGAAATAAAACATCGTTATAAGAGGCTAGGAGAAGACGAAGTCGCCCCCGGCCGGGCTAGCTATCGGCGCGCCTCAGTTAATGCCTACTTATACCTTATTATATAGCGGAGTTTGCGTTGAGGAACAAAATTAATTGGTTAAAACTCCTCTCAGTATCCAGGGCGGGCCGCCCCCCTCGCCTCCCTCTTAATTCCGCCCGCCCGCGCGCCCGCGCCCCGCCAGCTCCTTTGAAGGCAAACCTACCTAGAGAAAAAACAGAAAGTATAAAGTTTACACCCCTAGTGTTGTAGCTTAATTAATCAATGATAATATTTTTTATGATCAATATTATATTTTAATTAATTACCTAATTTGTCTGCCAGTAATCGTAATGATAAAGTAAATTTTATGAGAACAGGTAAAATACTTTTTATCAAAAATTTTCAAAGTACATATTGCCACTGAGATATTTTTGACACTTTTTAATTATAACTCGTTTAACTGGTTTAGTTGGAAATGTACAGGTTTTCATTAATAGAAATCTAGGCTGAGGTGGTTTATAACGGTTTTTAATGATGTGTACTATCATCAGACAGCTATTTATTGAACTGAGTAATTAATTGTTTTTTTACTTAATTAATTAACTGTAATGAGCATTTTAATACAGTGACAATAACAAGAACAAGTTACTCTAATTATATAACAAACAAATTAAGACATCTAACCTTATAGAAATATTGTGTAATATTAATTTCACAATACGTGGGACGTGTAAGTATAAGTGCCCTAGTAAGGGCCTATGTACTGAATAAACTATTTGAATTTTGAATTTGAATACGAAAATGTTAAATACTTAAATATCCAATTGCCACCAAAAATTTCAGAAACAAAATTAAAATAAAACAAATATACACTGAAATAAAAAAAACATCAAAAGGAAAAACATCGAGTTAATTTCGGAGTTACAACCGCAGGCGAGTGCGGCCGTAACGAAGGGCGAAAGCAAAGGGTAGGTCGGGCGGGCGAGGCGGGGGGCTCGTTGCCACTTCTACAAATAAATTATAATTCGCTCGCTCTCGGCCGCTCAGCCGGCTACGGGCTGCCGCTGCCCAAGCTCCGCTACTATTCCTTGCACGCATCTATTAAAATATAATTGTTATAATTGATCTAATTTACTGTAAAATCACATCTCAATCTAAGATTAGCTTATTTCATTGACTCTACCAACTTCAATCTGATGATTCAATCCTATTTGATAATGATTTTCTCTAATTGACGTTATTACTTAAATAAATAAATAAATTCATACCGTCTAATTTATACTAATTAGTAATTACCCTGTCATATGAGCGGGGCTTGTGGGATTATTAAGAGTCTTACTACTGCACCTTCTAAGACAAGATGGGTCTTTAAATAACTTGATTTTCGGATTTGCAATCAGTGTAGAGACTTATAGGGCTCACTTTCTATTCACGGACCTTCTCTCTCATATTCTTGTAGGCTCTATTATAAATATTAGTGGTAATTTTGGGTTATTTATTAATCAATATGCTTAGTATTTATTTTAACAATAGTATCAGTTGTAGAGCTTTTCTAAATACTTACGCTATTTTCATCAATAAATTTTCTAGTTTCTTTTTTTAAGAATCTGCATTTGGATAATTGTTACTTTTAAATTATTTCAAAACATAATTGTGCAAAAGTAACACGTTCCGGAGTTCTTTCACTGATCGTTCCTAAATGCTCTACGTGTTTTTTTTTCGTTCTTATTTACCTAGATGGCACATCAAGCTAAATAAAGTGGCATCATTTATAGTTTTAAAGGGTTTGATTTTTTAACAAATATTGTGTACGTATTTAAATGTGCTAGCAACTTTACCTACCCCATTTTTCTTCTATAGCCGTAATGTGTTCTAAAAAATGCCATCCTCCACTCCTGATTGCTAATGGCCTGCGAGCAAAGAAGGTATTAATCAGAGAAGCAAGGGTATAGGTGCCAGGGGGGAGGGGAGTGTTGTGGCAGGAGCCAGCGATTAATTTAATAAATACCAACCGGATTCCGGTGCGTTTGTCTCCGTAGTTCGGAGCTATGCGGTGGCGTGCGGCTCTTGAATTACGATCGCGCTATACTTACCAGCAGTAGGTAAGTATACCTACCACGTAACCTAGTTCAGATGTGATGTGACCATTAAATCTTCCAAATTGATAGCTGAATACATGTGTTTTTTATGCAGTCAAGGCAGGCCACAGGCAATTGGACCGCAATCGCACCTGATTAATTAAGATGCTGTCTAGGATGGTACACTGCTTATGTATCTCTATTGGTGGTATTGATTAGAAAGGCAGTCAGACTTTATATTATGATTGTTATTATTTTTTTTTCAACAAAGTCGAAATTAACTCGCATTGTGAAATCTTTTTTATGTTGTAGATGCTTTTTACAGCAAGGACTAGTTGTATCTTTTCAGTTGATAAGTATAATTAATCAACAATCGATTGCGATGAGGGCTCTACATCTTGAATCAACTAGAGTGTGTAATAATACTACTTACGCCTTAATACTGACTAGGCGGATGTTTTACGTTAAAAGTACATCACGTATTTCTTATTCTCATACCTTAGACTAGTATCAGCTATTCAAGAAAGAATTTATCTCGTACTACCCGCATTCCATGCCATGCTTTGCATTAAACTAATATTAGTAACCTTAACCACATATTATAGCCATAATAAGTGGCATTACTTTTCTTGAATCTAAATATATTTTGGAACATAGTGAAACGTTCAACTCTTTCAAAATAAAAAATAAAAGCTTTCAAAATATAAAAAATATCCAATCGTAAAACGCTACTAGAAAAGTACCGAGAAGTCTACCGAGCTTTTGTTAGTTATGGTTATACACGAGGGTGTTTTGAAGATGCTGCGATACTACGATTCATTACTTACGGCTGATCGTAGATAAATAACACTCCTTTTTCTTAACCCTGGTAGAGATAAAGGCTTTGTTAACAGACCTCGGGAGAATAGTTTCCATCCGATGTATCACCATTATTCTTATCATAATTTATTATTTCATCATAATTACTATTGTTTTGAAGCCTTGTCTAGGCTTAATACTTTAATATTTTCCTTCTTCTTGGTCTTCTCTTGATTCAATAAGCACCTAACTAATATGATGCTTTTTGTTTCATTTCCTCATTTTCTCAGATGGAATTCGCTGATATGTAGATAAGTGGATCTAAAAGGTTAATAAAATTATTAGTAAATAACAAACATCTCTTTATTTAATAATTATGTACTGGACATTGATAAAGAAATACATATATTTATCGTACCATAATGTCACATTTATCTTATAATAATTTTGTACAGTTAATGTTTTAAGTATTCGTTTTAAAGTAACTCCTGTATTCCGAATATGAGGTAGATGTGTTAATGGCAGTTCTTTGGATTAAACGGAAATCTAAAATATATACATACATACATTTTAATCAATATTAAACGTACTTGTAATTATTTATAGACAAAAATGCGAACAAATGGCACCGAAAAGGTAAAATCATTGACTAACTAATGAAAATAAACAACTTTCAAAGTAAACAATAAATTTAAATTATTATTAGTTTAATAGGAACTTAAACCATTGCAGAGTATTGTTGTAACAACAGATATCTGTTTACTGATATTACAATACAATTGAATTTACAGATTTATAACCGAGTTGTATATTGTACACAGTACAAAATCACTTAAATCTGTTGACAGATTTGCCTGAGGTGTGAAAAAAAATTTCATGTGTAATTTTAGTAACCGGTCAGCAAACAGAGAAATGTTACAATAAGATGGATTCGATATGTTACTGACGCACCTGCGTAAGCGTCTTCCTGTACATCGGTTGGCTTCTTTAAAAGTTTCGATTACATTTATTATTTTAACGACATCAACTACGCCTGCGTAGGTATGAGTTTAAAAATTGACCACCAAGTAAAGCAAGAAACAGCATGGTAATAATCGCGTTATGACGCAAGTGTAGCAGTAACATAACACCACTTAGTTCGGAACGCTTTATAAGACAACAGTAGGTAAATAAAGTAATGGAATAAAATCAGTCTCAAAGGTATAGTTATAAAACATACGCCAAAAGATATATATCTATAAATTTGTCCTGATTACATTTATTGTACACGCTAACTTGACAATGAACAATAGAAAATATTTCAAGAGTGCATCTTTACCCTGGCGTTATTCGTCGAGTGAGGTAGATAACGGCAACGGCGCCTAACTTTACACTAACTACCAATATTACAACATTGCAACATGAAATTACAACTCCTAATTGAAAGTACATAATATTAAATTTGTACACATTAAACTTTGTACCAATAATTTCTTTGGGAAAAATATTTCATATAGTTACTTCGCTTCTATGCCCTAAGAAGACCCTACTATCCGAAACCTTAACCCTAAGGAGAAAATAAAATAATAATAATCAACAATCATTACAGCTTAAATAGATACAATTATAAATCATGTGCGCTAAACATCGAGAACAACTACAGACATTAAATTAGAGCGAAAACGAGAAAATAAACACACTACACCTAGTAGGAAACTAATACCCGTAGAACAAATTGCAGAACACGACTCTATGCCGGGGCCGTGCGCGCAGGGAATTCATACATTACGCTAAATATATACACGATTTACGTTAAATATATCTGACTTTATGTCATCTTAAAACTATACCGAAATATCTATCTACCTAACGAATCCCAATTCCGTGGGTGCACGGCCGCCACTTAAACTCTATTCACGGCAACACAGAGACCCGATCGTAAAGTACCACCAGCTCCACAGTGAGATCAGTGAATGCCTAATAATCTACCTACATAAAAATCTGTTTACTTCAATACCCGATCGTCCACGACGGCCAATGACTCGCTACATAAATAAATTATTTACATACAATAATTACATTCAAGAACCGTTTCTCTCCACGGTCAATTGAACCCTTAAACAGAGAAGAAACATCTACGATTAAGTCGAATAATAAATAATTTAATGAGAGATAGAGCTTATTTACAGAAGCTTGTAGCGCTCGTGGGCCCCTTGTGTCCAGCACTCCGCCGCTCGCCGCTCACGCCCAGCGGCCGCGGACAAGTCTCCCGTATGCCGAATACCAGTATCGGTTACGCGTCACTGGACGCACCCTACACGTAAACAATCGGAAAGAAATATTTTTTCCAGAAATCTTTGAATAAAAATTTGAGAACTGTGTGAAATAATAAGGGTGATTAGAAACCGGTCGCAACGAACGGCAACGGATCAAGGCGCACGTAATTGTGTCGGCATTGTGCGGAACTCGCCGCTGAATCAATAGGTTCTTAATAATCGCCGATTGTGAACTAGCCTTTGTTGCTGAAATAATAAGCCAATGTCGCGGCCTTCTCCGCATTCCGGTGTGCGCTCATCAGCGCGAGGGAGGACGTCGCTCCGAGATCAATACATGTCAGGCGTGACGAAGGCATTTTAAGTTCTGTTACAAAACAATGGACTGTGTCAATAAATCAAAAAATATCTTTTGTGCAATACTTACATTCTTTCTGTTTTGCAAGTTGCAAAATAAAAGAACAAAACGGTCGCGTTTTTTGCCTCACCTCGCCTTGCGATTATGCAAATGGCTCGACAATAAAGTTTTAAACTGTAACACGAATGAAAAAAAGTGCACTTTATGGCGAGCATTGCGAATGCAAAAACATAGAAGAATAGATGACTACCTAACGAGTCTTCGTCAGTAGTCTTACCGAGAAAAATATAAAACGATAAAATTTACCGATACAATTTTTAAACTAAGAGTTATTGTTAATTTTTTCATGATTTCTGGGTAAAGAATTCTGGACTAGCTTGAGCCGTGAGCGGCGAACGCGACGGAGCGGACGAGGGGCCAGCAGCGGCGCGGGCTCTACGCAGGAGGAACTCGTATACCGGCTCGGCGGCGCTTGGCGCGCGGTGACTACGCGGAGTGCACGCGCAGGTCGGTGGGCGAGTCAGGGGTGGCCGGCCTCCGCGGCAGCGACAGGTCCTCCGGCTCCGTCTGCTCGGGCCACTCGTCCCAGCGCCAGTCGGCGGCGGCGGCGGGCGGGCTCGGCGCCTCCGGCTCGCAGCCCGAGCCCGCGCAGCGGTGCAGCGCCGCCGCCTGCCGCCGCCGGAAGCGCGCGCCGCAGCGGCACGCGAAGGGCGCGTCGCCCTCGTGCACCAGCGCGTGCGCCTTCAGCTGGTTGGAGTCGGAGAAGCGCGCCGGGCAGCGCGCGCAGGCGTACGGGCGCTCGCCGGTGTGCACGCGCAGGTGGCGGCGCAGGTTGGCGACCTGCACGAAGTGGCGCGGGCAGTGCGGGCAGCTGTACGGCTTCTCGCCCGTGTGCAGGCGCAGGTGCGTCTTGAGGTGGTGGTCGCGCGTGAAGCGCTTGTGGCACTCGCCGCACTCGAACGGCTTCTCCCCCGTGTGGGTGCGCTCGTGATTCTGGAGGACGTGTTTGTAGCCGAAGGACCGTGAGCAGACTTTGCAGGTGAAGAGCTTGTCGCGGGGGGGGTCGGCGGCGCCGGGCGAGGAGCCGGAGGAGGGCGGGGAGGGCGGCGCGGCGGCGTCGTCGAGCTTGGGCGTGCGGCGGCGCTTGCGGGCGCGGTCCAGCTCGGGCGGCGGCAGCAGCGGCGCGGGCGGCGAGGGCGGCCAGGCGGCCAGCAGCGCGCCCGAGTACAGCTCGGCCGGCAGCCCCGCCACCAGCGCGGCGGCGCGCGACGCCAGCAGCCGCTCCGCCAGCATCGGCAGCGACTCTTGGCGCATGCTTGATAGCGGCCTCACAGACACACCTGGACAATACAAAAATCCTTTTAACTGCACGCTCACTTCCAATTGTTTGGGATGATGTGATCTCTCGAAGCTACTCAACGACGGAGAGAACCCAAGCTATACACGTTCGACGTGATCACTTCCGTCACAGTTTGAGATCTACCTAAACAAACATCGCTTTCGAACCTATCGATAGCACACTTATCAGCGAAGGAGAACAAAAAAGACAGCAAAAAGCGTTAGCGACTGCGGAGGAAACATTTGGTCGCAATCACGCCGCTGCAGGTCGCTTCCGCCCCGACCTGTTGCGCAAATTGCCGCTACTTGGAACATATGAACTAATCTTTGTTTCAGTCACGCCGAGGTGCGATATCGTTCGGATGGTAAACGTCTCGATTTCCGATCGGGAGTTGTTCAATTGTAATGCTCGAGCGAGACGAGTTTGTGTAGTGTTGGCGACGGGGAAGGAGGCGAAGCTACCGGGGGCGACCGGACCACTTACCTATATAATGGAATTAATTATTCCTCAAGCGGCGGACTCCTCCCGCCTGCTCCGCCCAAATTATATTCAAATATTAATTTCGACGAAGAAAAGCCTTTTTGAGAGCACTTAATTAAAATTAGACAAAATCATAATTGAAAGTTCTCCTCGAGGCGTGAAGAGGCGGCGGAGGGGGCTCCTTACATTATCTACTTAGCCGTGGAATTAATTCCGGCCGGGCTGGACAAGCCCGCGCTTAATTGAAACAAGCTAAATGTTTTGCCGACTGCGAGTGTCGTCGCGAGCTCCTTGTCGTTCGCTTTTACCTCCTACTTGCTTACAATTTATGTTATGAATCATCTTTACTTCTTTGTTCATTTCATCCAGTACTTATTTATAATTTGTTTGATATCTTTCTTTCTAAGCATTAAAAATGTATGGTTCAGAAAGACTTCAGATACGAGATATTCATGGCCCAATGATGAGCGTTATTCAGGGAGCGTAGTATAAGATAATTTTAAAGTTGTGATTAGGCGGAGGCGCCGCGCGGCACGTACCGCGGGCTTATCCCATAACTTTTTAATAACATTCCTCGCTGTTCCGAGGCCGAACAGTGAACCGCACTCGTGATGTGCCCAGAATTACAATAACGACTAATGTAAAAGTTAAACAAGTAAATACGGCTCGCCCAACTGTAACAAGATCCTAATAAATCAAAAACGTGTCTTACATACGGAGAGGTTGCTAATTAAATAATTTTCTTATAAAGACGAACTAGCTATAATAATATAAGAATGATAAAAAAATATCTTCTACAAAAATGAATGTAGATAATGTTCTTATTTATCCACTTCTTTAAAGTTCGAGTCTTGTATCTTACAAGACCCTTCGTGCGAGTAGTAATTCAGTTAAGTGATATAACTTATATTCGGGCATAATGCCTTTTATTTGGCGGCCGGGCCCACCGGGTAACAATGTTGGTGATAAATTTTTACAGCGCACCGCACCCTTCCGTACCGCTTTTTATGTGCTAAAGAGTTGTAATTATCCCCTCTTTATACCCCATAAATATTTGTCAATAACCCATATTCAATACTTTTATGGAGTCGCCTGCGGCTGCCACTCCATAACTCATTATTGCGCAAGGGTTCTGCCGATAAGCGGCGATGACGGCCTCATTGTAAAGTGATTGTCAAGCTCACTATGTTTTTTACCATCTTTTGTTGTAATTACACGCCTTTTTGATTTCGATATTGCTCAAGCTACTTAGCAAATGGGCAGATAGTTTGACTATGTGAATGAAATGATAAATGAGTTATGTTTAACATGGTTAATCTATATATATAAAAGAAAGTCGTGTTAGTTACTCCACTTATAACTCAAGAACGGCTGAACCGATTTAGCTGAAAATTGTCAGGGAGGTAGTTTAGAGCCAGGAGAAGGACATAGGATACTTTTTATCCCGTTATTTATTGCCATTAAGGCGGAACAAAGTTCGCCGGGTCAGCTAATATAATATAATGGAATACTTATTAGGCGAGGTAGAACGAGTTAATGCTGCGAGGGTATTACCCGGTCGACGCTGGCCTAATTCCAGTAATTGTCATATAATGGGATTAACCTGCGGCTGCCGGCGGGCAGAGCACTCGCACAGATTATAGCTGCTACGGTTTCGGGACTTTAGGGTTAAGAGCGATACACGCGTGCCTCGTGGGGCTTCTTACTACACACTTGGAAGCTTTAATTAGATACAAATTACCAAATAGGCCAAAGTATTACGTGTTAAATTACGTCGTGGGTTACTCAATACGTTAGGTACTTATGTTATCCTAGATATGCAAAGAATGTCGCACTTTAAATGTATCATCAATATCAAAGTAGGACAAAGTGTACATGCCTCTTCAGACACATTGGCTTTTTTTGTTATAAGTCATCGATTTATTATGTTTTAGAGACAAGAAACCAATTACTTTTACAATAAAAGTAAAAACAATCATTTCCTTTGTTTTATAATAACATTTTAAAATCATAAATAAATATGTATCAGTAAAGTTTATTTTAATAGATGCCTATACATATATTATACAAATTCAAGCAAAACAAAACCACCTGTATAGTATGGAACATATTTAAAAAGAAGCCACAACACACACACATTCATTTTACAAGGAATAAGTGACTACCCCCCAGAAGAATGCTTATTCATCAATTCTTTTCTTTCTAATTATCGACATTTGTTATCACTTTGTGAATATCATTGTGCTTGTCCACAGTAATTTAAAAAGTAGCACGACTTTAAAACACAATAGCAAATCATTGCACTAATGGAAATATAATTAGTTCTACGATATAAAACAAAAGGTTTTACTTTTTTGATAGAAAATTAACATTAACCAAAGGGTGATTTACAGCATGCAAATAAGAGATACAAAACAAGTATGACTAGAACACATCAGTGAGAACTAGATAACAAAAAGTATCATGTGCAAACAAATTATGAATGCTTTAAAAATAAATATAAACAATACAAAATAATTGTAAAAATAAAATACATAATAAGTATAGTTGTACAATAAATAATAATAATAATACTCACAGGAGATAATATGCACACACACAATAAATCTACATAGTTCAATCTATCACGAATAAGTTTTTTTGCTACATATTAGTAAAAAACAAACCGTAGCTACGAGCTACGTGCCGCGCGAATCGTAGCAGCACCGTAGCAAGCCGCTACGCGCCCGCTGCCGTCTACGGTTCACTGAATCTGCAAAAGCTCGCGTCGAATGCAAATAAACACATGTGTGCGGAGTCGGGCGCGGCCAATCGCCGCCCTCGCGACACGCATGCCGTTCGCCGCTAACTTTCAAAACTTTTCACACACGTTCTTCCTTCAGATTCAGAGTTCCGAGATGGCAGGCGTTTTCAAATACAATTCACACAAACCTCTCGAGTTCTGCGAAGACTGCAGGGACAATGCCATCTCACATCAGATTCACAAAAAAATATGCATTTATTAGCACCACTAAGTTTTTTCTCGACTGTCCAAATGTTCCGCGGATGTGAAAATTTAATTAATCTATAATGAGCGTTTGAGGTCCGAAGTCATGTTATGTCGTCGTGGAGTCGCGATTGTGAATGATCAAGCGGCGCGGCACGAGCTCGCTCGGTGCGACCTACCACAACACTGGCGGCTGGCGGCCGGCCGGCGGCGTGCGCCCGGCCGCCCCTCCGCGGTAAACACACCCCCTGCCCGCCCCCCCCGCGCCCCGCGCCCGCCCCTCCCCGGTGCACTCCACGTGTGCACGCAATGCATTCACTTTTTATGGCCGCTACTACATTATGTTCCTTCCTGAAGCAGTTTTTTAGCCCTCTTGTGCGAGCGCCACATAAGCACTTTTTATGTTTATGACCGGCTCCTGGTCGGGACGTTGCTCACATTATAGATAACTAATTTGAAAATAGGATTTTTTATCTTCATCATTTCATCATAGTACCTACTTACTTTCGAGTTTAGTCTTATTAACACTGAATTGATTTTAAAGACCTAAATAGATAGGTAATATCAAAAATACTTTTATTTCGATAACTTTACCTCTGTACAAAGCTCTTATTTTTACTTCGTATGATTAGAGCTTTAGCTTGTAAAACTTACTAACATTCACAAAATTAATGTTGCTGCTATATATTTTTTTCATTAATTAGAGTAATGTCAACAACTGAATTGTTTAAAAAATTATTACATGTAGGAGTTATTGAACTAATATAATATCCTAATTCTTTCGATTAGAGTTCTAAACCACCGTGAAGTATCGAACCCAATATTGTATTATTAATTCCAAAGCTTGCGTCAACGTACAAAAATATTTATTTCCAGAGTTTCATCTTTCCAGAACTTTGTGCAAATATTTTTTGAGAAAGTTGGTGAATATTGTATAAGTAATTGAAGGACCTATTTATAAGTCGTAATAAGTAGGTACTTAGTAGTAACTAAGTGGACGCGACTGAGATGTTATAAAATACATTAATTCTGATACAGCTTACAATACTCTACATCTGGAAGGTTACCGTAGTTAAAGATAAATTGTCTAATCCAAAAAACCGGCCAAGTGCGAGTCGGACTCGCGCACCGAGGGTTCCGTACCATTGATTTATGAAATTAAAATTATTATTTTTTATTTAAGTTATTAGTATGAAAGATTACGCGGTAATAAGCGGTTTACGATTTACAAGGTATTAAAAAAAAACTACTTACTAGATCTCGTTCAAAACAATTTTCGTTGGTAGTTTTTATAGTAATGTACATCATATGTTTTTTTTAGATTTTTCATTTTCTTATTTTAGAAGTTAGAGGGGGGGACCAACTTTTTTCCACTTTAGAAGCGTCTGTCACGCAAACTATTCGGTTTAGAAAAAAAATGTTTTAGAAACCTCGATATCATTTTTGAAGATCTATCCATAGATACCCCACACGTATGTGTTTGATGAAAATTTTTTTTTTGAGTTTCAGTTCTAAGTATGGGGAGCCCCCAATATTTATTATTATTTTTTTATTTTTGCATCAAAATCTTAATGCGGTTCACCGAATACATCTACTTACTAAGTTTCAACAATATAGCTCTTATAGTTTCGGAAAAAAAATGGCTGTGACATACGGACGGACAGACGGACGGACAGACAGACATGACGAATCTATAAGGGTTCCGTTTTTTGCCATTTGGCTACGGAACCCTAAAAATGTTATTTTTCTAAAAAGAAGTGTTTTGAAATAATTTAATTGCAGGTAAAATAACCATTATATAAAATAAATTAAACTCAAAAATACGTTGTCTCTATAAAAATACATTATAAACAAACTATTGTGATAGAGACTCGGGCCAATTAACAGCAGTTTTATATTCAATGTTTTGTTAAAACAATGTATTGTATGTGTCAATGGTATTATTAATCTCAGAATAGTGAGTTAAGTCCTAATGGGAAATTGTTAAATTGAATAAAATAAATAAATAGCATTAAGAATTATAAGTTGAACTAAATATATGATAAGTAACTTTTACAAATAAGGTGCAGCTTAGAGCTTTTTTAATCTTCTAAGTATTTATTATCTTTAGGGTCATTAGTATTAGGCACTAGTTACTGTAAGTAGTACTCACGAGAAGTATAGGTATATATATATATAATATTACCACGTTATATTTTAACATTTATAGACACAGTGGCTCATATCCACAAATAGAATAACTGATTAACTTTATTCTCGGTATATTAGTATTTAATGAGATGACGTATTTTATTAATTTCAAGTCGGAGCAACTCTTGATCACAAATGAGGTAAGCAATAATTATTGGATACTAAATTTAACTTAAATAATGTTCGGGTAGATTGTTTAATATTAGTAAATTATTTTTTAATATCTTACTAAGAAGATACAGGTTTCGGTTGCAATGAAACGTGATAACTTTGGAACTTAAGAAACCATGGTTACTTTAACAAGCGGTAATTGAGTTTAAAAAGACTACTTATTGTATTGTAACCGAAGGAAATAGCTTTGTAATTAAAATCACGTTGTTTCAGGGATGTGGAGAGATTTAGCGTTTCTAGTGAAGTTGGCCGGCGATAAGTTAGCCCTTGGAGCGACGCGCGACGGGCTGGAGGTAATTATTGGTTCAAAGACAACACGCATAAAGAGCATAAGTGTCGCGGCGCGGCGCGGTCCGCGTAAATTAAGCGTTTTTATTGTGGCCCGTATACCGCTATTTTTACCACTTTAACTATTTTTACCGTTTTAGTGGGCACGCCGCACGCGCCGCCCTAACGCGACTCGCTTTTTATCCCGTCGTAAAGAACTATGTAGACGGGTAACTTATCTACGGGATTATTATTAGAATGGAGGTACGCCTATATATTTTGACAGTAGGCAGGGATTTCTTCTCTTTATAGAAATATAACATCTGAGGGAACACGACAGAGAGCGAACTTTTAGTTTAAGAGGTTAAAAATATTTTAAGACTCACATAATTTTCTCACTTTACTTAACACTTTTTCATAGTTACTCATAATAAACATACGAACAACATTAAATCCGTAATATAGGTAGGTACGAGATAAATTATCACTCCTTGAAACTACGTTATATGATTCAGAAATCCTGAAACGAAATTCACATGCTGAAATGACCCCATTTATTTTAGAAGGAAATGTAAATATTTTGTTATATCATAATCATGGCTTTTCCCACTTATGTTCCTGAACAACATAATATACTAACTTGGGAAAAAATTGTAGTTAGTTCATTTATGTTCAGCAGAAGCTGAAATAAAAAAAGAAACTACGAGTATTTCTCATAAAACTTCTTTAATCACAAAACTATCTATGATATTATGTAATTTAATGATTCTAAAAACAATAGTAGGTACTCGTGAGTCGCAGTAGCAGCCCAACAGTTGCCTAATAATAGCTCCTACAAGGACTTATTAAACACAAAACAGTTCTTTTCACAATGCTCGGTGAAAAAGATTGTTAGTTTTTTAAGAGCATTGCTCCCCGTCCCACCTGCTGCTGTCGCGTGCCCATAACTGTTATTCTATTAATACCTCAATTCCGTAGCCGTTAAGGACTATATTTGGTTGAATAGAAAATTGTGCAAGGAAGTTTTTTAGATAAAAAAGTGAGTTGTCGTCTCGTTCTGTTGTAGTGCATCATCCCATTCGGCAGGATGTTTAGGTTCGTTATCTGGCACACGCCGCACCTTGCCTCGCTCGAGACCCTCGGTATTTTACCGTCGTATCAATAAATTAGGCAACAACAAGATCTCTGTGGTGCAATTTTCGCAGATAAACAAGCAAGTTTGCCATAGAGGCAGGTGCGGGACGCCTTATCTTGAATCAATATTATTCCGTTAATTAAGCCAGATAACCTCAAACAACGCCGATTGCATCGCGACCGAAATGTTGATTTACGCCCTAACTGCTACCACTTATCTATTTTTAGAACATGGCACTAACGTTAAATTAGGTTCTTAATTATAAAACCAAAGAATGTAGTGGGAGAAATATACCGGTGCCGCAGTGTGACAATATTAGCAATCTTAAATGTTTTTCTTAAAAAACACCGAATATTATCATTTTGATTGCGGTATTTATTCAATAATATAATTAAGTAGCAATTACCCAGGCCGCACAATTAAGTTGGGTAATAATAAATTATGAATAATGCATTGTAGACTTACCTTTAAACTTCCAGCCTTTGATGTTTTAATAATTAAATGGCCGACTTCACAAACAGTAGGAAAAGTCTTTTGATTTAAGTTTTGAGATCAATCACGTTACGAAATAAGCTTAGAGTAGGTGTGTAGTGAAAGTGATGGCGGAGAGTATTTTCTTTGTTTTGCGAGAAAGGTAGAACCCCCCGGTCACCCCCCGGCAGCCTCCACTGCCCGCGGCTCAAAGGGACCAACTCTTTGAAGCCGTGAAACCACAATTAAGCCTTGCCGAAGAGAGCTCAAGGACGCATCACTTTGCCCACAAATGAAAGGAATCCGAAATTCGCCAACACTTTTACTTTCTTTTTCATTGCGCGATAGCACGCTCTTTGTTTGTAACGCTTTCATTGCTGTACAAAGAACCCTTTGAATGTACACGTAACCTGCAATAAAACTTGCCGCCTTTGCAAATTTTAACCCCAAACATTACAGAGACAATACGATCATTTTTTCCAGACGTAATAAACGACGCATTTTATTTGCACATTCAAGTGTCAAAAATAGAGCACTAGTGTAATTTTAACGCAATCTCAATATTTACAATACATTCAAACAAAATATTAGATTCGTAAACTTGACTTATCTCTCAATACCTGAAATTCACTTTCGTCTTATGTGATTATCGTTCAGCTTTAGTCCTATAAAGCTAAGTATGTACTTTGATAGCGCTTTTTATAAGGCTATAAACGTTTTCCCAGCATTTTTTAAATTTGTCAGTTCAAGTAACCAGAAATCTTAATTAAAACATTGTTAAATTTCTACAGGCCTACTTTTAAGTTCACATACAATTAAGATTCAATATTTTCTAGAAGGTAGGTCATAAAGGCGTTAGTTAGCAAATGTACACATATAGAGTTCAAAAAGACAACACTGATTAAAGTTAATGGATGGTACTTTAGTTTTTATTAGATAGTGTAGTTCAAGGTTG